ATCTATGAGACCAAAGGAAACCACCTTCTATTAGAAAATGGTTGGATTCTGATATTTGAAACTTACTTGTTAATCATAATAACTTAAATCCACCTCAATCCATCCACCATTTACATAATATTGAAAGAGCATGATTTCATACCTGTTTTTTGTTATTAGCTGATGACATCAACTTCATGATTTTTTTTTTCAAACTGGATATTAACCAATCAATGTTAGACACTGACAGTAATGAAGTAAAATGTAATGACAGGTATGGACTTAGCATGGGCTACCTAAATCTACAGTTGATAATGCCCTTGAAATGGGATGAAATCGTTTAGCACTATCATCCGTCACACAGACACACGACCAATAGGAAGTTCCTAACACCAAGTTATTTCCCCAGACATGGTCTACTGGGGAAAAAAATGCATGCACATGGGAATACATTCAAAGCAAAGGGTACACTAACCAGCACTTTTAATGACGTCTCTGAGGGTGTGGTTAGGACCTGTAAATAGGCCCCCAGATGAACATGTCAACCATCATCCCTTCCCCTCCTTCTTGTTTTGTTCTGCTTTTACATTTTTCTCTTGAGGTTTCATCTAAATGTAAGCCAGTCTTTCATCTGAGATGTGTCAGACCTCTACATAGACACTGGCAATGTTTGGAACCTCTTTTTGGTACATATCCACTGGACAAATCATGCGCTGAGTCTTGACAGCATTTGAATGTACCACTGAAATTCAGGTGGTTCAGCGAGGAATGCTCCTTTCTAGAAACACAGTGAATAAATTTGGACTGAAATTCTCAGAAAGGGAAAAAAAATCCCATTTTCTTTTCAGAGCTCTGAAGAATTTCCAACTTGAGTCTTTTTCTCATGCTTACATTTGCTAGTGCATTTGCCAGTTTATTCTGCTACTCCCTCAAATGCTTAAATATTGGCACATTTTGCATAAAATCCATGGCCTGTTAAAGAGCAGGGGATTGATGAAACAACGTAAGCTGACAAAATTCAACGAAGGCAATTTTTCGGCATTTTCGTTCTCAAATATCTTCTTCATTATTTTCTGAAAACAGTACGGATTTCACAAAGAACTCTTGCCAATTGTCATTTGTCCAGCAGTGTGAAGTAGACAGGGTAAAACTCTTCCCTAATTTCAGATCCTGAGTGCAGAATTGGATCAAACTGTCTGTCAGATACCCAGAAAATTAAGTAACCGAGGTCCCAACCAATGCAGATAAATAATGAAATCTGGACTCCATGAAAATAAGTCTTGGCCATGGTGCATACGAATGGTTGCACAAACCATGTCACAGGTTGGGACAGGTTGGGAGGGTAAGGTGAAAGAGACTTGTATTTCACAGCAGAACAAATTTTATGACTGCAATCACATGACACCAATTCCCTTTACGTACAATATCTTGCCCAATGTCTGAGATAACAGCACCAACTGGTATAAACATTTTAAACACCAACAGAAATCAGTGCTAATACACATGCCCCAAAAAGGTGCAGATAAAAAATCACACTCCGAATGGAACAATGTTTTGAAGGTACTGAAGGCAAAACTTTTTATCTTCCAGGTACAGACGTTCAAGGGTTGCACAAAGTCAGATGGCTGTCAAAGATGGTTCACAAATCATTCATCTATTCTTCAGGCTGCCCAGATAAAGTTTATCAAGAGACTTTTGTGGGCGGCTGCACTCAGAAATTCACAAGTGCTCCTACATCACTCTTCAGGTTGGGTGCATAAAGGGCCTGGCAGAGATAAGGGCGGCTGATAAAAATAATGACTCAGACTTGATATCACTAAACGCAGGCCATGAAAAAAACATGTCATGTTTAATTAACGGACCAAAGGGTGTACCCATCATGAGGCTCATGTTGTATGTACTGGTCAGATGGGGGGGGCGACTTTCTTCCTTACAATTTCCAAATTTTAAAACCCATTTTGGTACATGTACTGACAAATTATTCACACCTAGGTGATTCAGTAGCTCATAGGTGATTCTGACCATAGGGGCAGAGGATGTAAAAGTCTGGTCACGCAATGATCAGAGATGAGATTGACCAATGGTAAAAAATAGCTGAAAACAGCAGAAGAAAGGCATAAAGAAGCTGAACTGTGAAAATCTCCTTTACTTCTGTACACAGCCAGTGAGGAAAAAAGATTGAAATCCAAAACAAAAAAAACTGAAATCAGCTAAAAAGCTGAGAAAACTCACCCCTCAATGATGTGCTGACCCCCCCCAAAAAAAGGAAAAAAAGGAGCACTCCCATTATCATTGAGGGCCGGGGCAAGGACTGTCACATGACAAATGAAGTTTAGTCACCTACATGTACATGGACCAGCACTTGAACTTTCTCCATTTCCAAACTTATCTTAACTACTGGAACATGAAAAGAATCGACCTAACTGTATGTTTCAGTCAAAAACTAGGTAATCATGTGGGAATTCTTCCATCATAGATAATGACTGTTTGAACAAAAAAATGGACCCAAAAAAATGATCGAGTTGGGTATTTGTCTTGCACACTAAAGATAACGAGTCACTAACAAGCACAAAGTCAAAACTACACATATTCACTTTACCCATGAACATCCACATCATTTCCCAGTCAATGACATCACAGCATTTTGATTCTGGACATCTGAAAATTCAATTTCTACCATTATTTGTACAAAATAACATACTAGTATGCAATGTTTAATAAATAATCAAATTAAATGAATAGGCCTAACTGATCATCTTGCACTTCTCCCATCAGTAACTTTCGTCCAGGTTCATTTCAAAAATTCATAAATTATCATGTAATGAATGTAACTGGGAAAAATGGCATACTATGGGGGAACTCGCAAAACAACAAAAAACTCAGACAAAACCAAAAATCTTTGAGGGACAGGTTGCTGGAAACTTAATTAATAGGGGCTCAGACACAAATATTTGATTTCAAAAAAGGACACAAAAGAATTTATGAATGAACAAGTACTGAAAAAAAAAACACTCAAGGACTAAAAACCAACAAAGTGTGTCAAAATAGATCTAACGAGGAGAGTTTGGCTTTCGATCACTGACTCATAGAAACAGACTGAAACCTGACTCAAGTAAAAACGCACACTCCAGTGAGGAGGGACAAATGAACAGTGATAGTGTCTGCTGGTTTGCTCTTCAAAACTACATGTAAGTGGTCAGAGCATGGGGGTCAAGTTAAATGGGTAGAAGCAAGGGCCAAAGTAAATAAACAGGGGGGGGTACACTAACAGAAAAAATACAGGAGAACTCTAAACAAGAACTGTATTTTTAGAGGGGAACTGCTCCTGTGAAAAGACGCTTACAAAAAGTATTTATACAAATTTCTAGCTCTGCCACACAAATACTAACATATTCTACAGTCTATGGGGTGTGAAGAGCTTGAGTCAGATTAGCTTGCAGTGTTATGGTCACAATCATCCTGTTTGAGACAAAGACTGAGACCAAAGAATGGTGAATGAGGCCATGACATGACCATCACATTTGAGACCAAGACTTGAGACAATAGAATCTTAGTATCCAAGGCAAACCCAATGCATACATAAAAATATATCATACACTGCTGCTGAGTTGGTAATTTTGCAGATGGCTGGTATGAAAGCTAAACATAGGGCATATTTCTTTTCTTTTTAAGACACCTCAACAGAACCAATGTCAGTATATAAAGGTAAATTCCAATTGAACCTAAATTTGTAGCCGAACACATCCACTGAAGTCGGCATACAACCACAAGAAAGGTGTTAGTCTTATTTAATTTACTTCTAGTTAGATCACAAGGCATAGGCAGGTAACATTTATTTGTATTTGCGCCAAATCCCAGAAAAAAACCTATCCAATTTTTTCTAAACCCAGAGGGTTAGGGGAAACTGTTAAAAGGCTAGGATTATTACTTTTTTATTTTACATTTTTAAGATGGTAAAGTTTATTTTCCCTTGTGTGACCATTTAATTTTGATAGCCAGTGAATGCGCAGCAAATTTGAGCAAAATTCAGAGGTGTGTCTTGCCCCCTTGTCCGTATTCCAACAACTGCCTTTGGTTTCTAAAAGCCAAACAAGCTCCACTTCAGATTTAAATCAACATGGCAGGTCTGGCCAGTTGCTGTCGGGCCGTCAGGTTTTACAAGGGTACCAAACTTACATTCGACATGCACTTCATTTCACAGTCACTTTTTACAATTGCCTTAAATACCTAAAGAGACAAGGGTGGAGAATTTTAAAATATACTGAATGCACTTTTGAACCTCACAAGTAAAAAAATAACACAAACTGATTTGTTTGGGACTTGGCCAAAACTACATACATGTATGAAAATCTAAATCTACATGTATGTGAATATAACATCATCTCAGCAAAAACTGCCGGTTTCATTCCTCAAAAAGAGGAACATTTAAATTGTATAAAAAAGATCCTTGCTCTTAACACTACATTAAATATCAACGACTCAAGGGCTCAACAGTGTTTGTTAAAAAGGACAACAGAACAGCAAAAAACAGTTTTTGTCATCACCACGGGAGTCAAACACAGATAACCATCAGCAATCTATCAGCAAACTTTCAATTAGCAGGTTGTGACAAAATACATGACCATACACTGATGAATGATACCTTTGTTGCATATATTTGCTTAAATATTTACCAAGTTTACATCTCAGATACAATCCTGTTTTAGCTCAAGTTATAACCTGTTCCCTGTGCCAAAAAATCAATTTCGATGTTAAAAGTTCAAATCTCACCACCAACATGGATTGAAATGTACAAGAACCCAAAAGAAAACTTAATATTCAAAGCTTGAGGAAAGTCAAATTCTTTTCAGGTTATTCACTCATCTCTCACAGAATCTTAATCCAATTATGATTAAAACACATCCTCAAGCAAGACAGTTTCAGGCTATTTTGTACGCCAAGTTTGGGCTGTTACTTCGGGAGAAAAAAACAAATTGAAAAACTGACCATTTAGAGAGATGACCGAAAGAACTGCAACATACCTCAACTGAGTGTGGCTACAGACAGATTAAGTTTTATCTGCGGGTCCAGCTGGCAATGGAGAATGCAGACTCCAAGTCCCTGCCTGTATGTGGATGTGTGTGCAAGCCCAGTAGCTCTCTGTGCTTTCGACTGGCTGAGCCGGTCCGTTCCAGTGCCTCTACTGCCTTGTCCATGTGAGGGGCTGCAGGAGGATCAATAGCACTATATTATTCCATCAGCATTCTGACATTATCATTTATCAATGATCCTTATCAGTGCCATGTATTTCTGGCGTATGGTGATAAGCCGCCTTGGCTGTGGCCCTGTTGTTAACCCTTTTATCAAAATACCATCTGGTTGAAATTCAGATAGGGTGCGCCTCGTAGAGTAATCTTATTTCAAAGTCCATCTGGGGGTATAGATAATTTTTTTCCTCCTGCAAAAAGAGACAGAGAGAGAGAGAGAGAGAGAAAAAAATATACAAAAGACAACTTATGATAAAATTTTGAAGGGAATAGTAACCTCCACCAAGTTGCAAAACTTTTAATGGGCTAAGTGGATTGATAAAAGTAATTCAAGTTCAAATAACACTCACCTACATCAAACAAGGAAACTCAACTTTGTTTCATTACACTGACAAAGAGGGAATGAAAGATTAGGACTTACTAAAAGGTCTTTTATATACATGTAGAAGACTTTTTTGTTATTTAAACAACCTTTATTCATCCTTTCTATATTTCTTTTTTTTCAAAACTGAATTGATTAAAGCTTTTTAAGACAGCACACATTAAAGTACTGCCAATGGTGTCACTGTAGGACACAGCTTTGAAGCTTTGACAATTTTTATATTTTTTATTTAATACGTAGTAAGTGTAGACCCATGTGCTTGCTAAATATACTGGAGGGTTCAAAGCACGGCAATAATTTCACCGCTTTTAAAATAAAATTTATGAACAATACAATTTTCACATATCAAAGGAGAGAGTTACAGCCATTCAATATTTATTCTTTAGGTTGAAAAGGCCAGCCTGATTTTTGCCCCTAACAAGAATTTCCATTTCATTTTATTTTTTATTTTGCTCCAATGAAAAATTAAACAGTCACTATAAGGAGGGCACTACTTGAAAATGTGAATTGTACCGTTGTTCGGAGCTTGAAGGAATATAGTTGCAGTGTATTAAATGGGAAGTATTCCATATCTGACCATCAACATTTTCTGGTGTCATAAACACCAGCCGGTTTACCCTAGATTTAACACTTGTTCCCCCTGGGTACTGATTCTCTATTACCTACTAAAATCCCCTTAAATCATACTAAATTCGGAGGTGTCCCCTCATACATTTAGTGATATTTGTGACACTCTCAAGTACTTTATGGAATTCTTCTGCGAAGCGAAGGAATATCCCATCTTTATATCCATGCAATAAGTCATTTGAAAACTGATATCAGGCTGAATATTAAGTATCAGTAGGTTTGTTGCAATAATGCCGAGATTTGATATTAATATGAGAGATATTACTGGGTGAAAAACACTGCAACAAGACAGGGTCAATCCTTGCATGTACTTGTAGGACCTTCCTGGACCACTCACTTTGAAGCTGTGCAAAATCTTTTTACAATTGGAATATTTGGGACTGTAAGGGATGGCTATATTCTAGTGTAGCCAGACCTTTTTCTCAAGATTGGTTTAAAGTGAATTTCAATGTGAGAACAAGGACTTTGGAAATTCCTAAATTAATCTTAATAAATCTTTACTTCCTTAATTTGTTGAACAGGTTGTGAATGTTTGGGATGGGTCCCTATGCCATTGTGATAAACCTAAAACAAAAAGCAAAAAAAAAAAAAAAAAACAAGGGCTGTAAGAGGGCCCAACGTGTTGCAGGGTGCATGATTTGGAACTACCGGTACATGTAAGTTGAAGGTACATGTAATTCACAACTGTTGAGTTCAGTCTCACAAGGGGATTCACATGTTATCTCTTTTAAATTGAGCCTCTATGAAAAAAAATAAATACGTGTCAAGAGAAAGGGGAGGAATTTATGTCACAGAAAATCTGAAAAGGGGACTTGGCTTGCAGCAGTTTGTATGAAAAGTGATCAAGATCTGTTGCACTCAGTTATGTACATACATACCTCCATGATACATGTATGTACGCGGCTTGTGGTTCCACCTCTCTGAGAGAGGAGGTTGAACAATGAGTCCCATACTAGCCACAGTTATGGGGTAGGAATGATCCTCAATACCTCCCTCGGCTAGGTGGTTTCATACACCATGTATTGTTGTCATGTTCAAAAAATTAATTGAGGGAATTGTTGATGTGCCCCTACTTGAACATGGCACATTTTGATTTTTTTGGCTAAGTATTGGTGTCTTACCGAAGCAATATTTTACCTCAAATTTCACGCAAAGTGAGATATTTCATCAAGCTCTCAATATTCTGATTCATTAATCTCGAAGTTACCAACCCACTACCAAGTTCTGAGAATTTTTTTTTCCTAAGTGCAAAATGAATTCTTTTAATGTGCCCAAAACTAAAATAATTTTCTAACAACCTTGCGGTTACGAGTGTAGTAGGCCTAGCTGGAGATAACAACTTATTAAAATTAATCAACTTCAAAGAACCTCTTCAATGTTTATGTTGGATATTCTGACATTTTTCCAAGTGCACCACATTAACTTACACTCTGCTGATTTCTGGATGCCACCGTTTTTGAAGTTTGGACGAAATTTCCTGACGAGGAAATGTTCACTCATCATGACTATGGTTAAACGGCATGGTTCCACATACGGACGCCGCTATAGTGGTTCCTGGCACTGTACTGTGCACAAGCCACTGGTCTGAAAAATACTAACGGTGTTTTCTAAGTGAACGACTTGGTACCCCCCCCATTGAACTTTTCTGGACATGTTTTTGCTCTCCGGCAGCTAATAGGTCACTTCAGAAAAATTACTGGCGTCCGTATATGGAACTAATTCCATGTTTGGTTTCAATCCTATCGATCGGCCATTAAATAAGCAACCAACTACCCCATCCAGCTTTCCGTACTCGGACCCGTGAGGTTCGGACGTCTCCAGCATGCAGTTAAGTTAGCAGAAGCGATGACCAAAATAAAGCGCCACCAGTACGATTTTCCTCATTAGGTACACTACAGTGCGACACCGCATTATTATGCATTAGATGCAAGCCATTATAACAAAAACAATAGAAAACGTGTCAAAAAAGTTAAACGTCACCCACAGATAAAAAATTGCAAAAAAATAAAGGCTAGTTGGGCACCACATTCCCCAATGATTTTGGGGCAGATTGGAGGTCAGTGGTTTGAGAGTTATCCATTTGCCAGTAGAGACAAGATATAAAGAAATCAGTACATGTAGTTTTGATTCTTCACGAAATGATGCAGTGAAATGCTAAAACCATTTTAACATTCCAGCAAATGAAAACTTTCTTTCCAAAATGCAATAAGTGTTGTTTTGGTATCTTTCAGAATCCTACCCCCGGTGTTGTCTGTAGTCGGTTTCTATAGTTTTAAGACAGCTAAACACAAATTTAATGAGTCAAAATAGTGAAAAAGAAGTTCAGGGGCACAAGGTACACTGCTAAAGCTGGAAAACTGCATGTTTTTTTCATATGGATATATCTAACTTTGGAAATTAACCCCTTGAAAGTCCATTACAAATGAAAACATAAAAAAACACTAGAGTTAGACTAATATTTTAACTCACAAGTTGTGAATTTATTCATTTAAAATGAAAATGACTTAAGCTCACAAAATTTCTTCTGGATGTGTGCTGGAGAGTAATATACATTACCAAATGCCCCCCTAAACTTAACCCCAACCCTCCCCCTTCTATTTGGTAAGTGGCACTTTTCCACTGTCTCACACACCTTCCCAACACCTAAAAATCAAGTCATATGACTTTGTTATGTTCCAAGAATGTTTCCTTTTATACATTTCTCAGTTTAAAGCCATGCCTGATTTTTGTTAAACCCCTGACAAAATATTCATACTGACACCAACTTCTCACTTTGAAAAAATATACATGTACATGCTTCTGGCTAAGTATCCCATGTGAGTTCTCCTATGCACCGTGTTCCTCAATACTCTAACTGCTTATGTGCGTGCATTTGTGTACTTCAAGCATGCAGTTGTGCTGCTGTAATCACCCAACATAATATAGCTATTCTGCTCCATTAGATAATTTGCAAACATTCCAACGCTACAATTTGAGTATGGTATGATACAATGAGAACAAAGATTCCTTTTTTCACACATCAATTCAGACAGATGACAAAGAGTACACCTTGTCTGTAATGGAACCAAGGTACTATGGAGGTGTGTGGTTAGGCTTTGTGACTCAAGAAGACTTGGTCAGGGTTCGAATCCAGCTGCTGATTACATGTTGTGACCTTGGGCAGGTCACCTTACTGCTACTTGCCTCTCCCAGGGGTATAAATGGCCACCTGTGAGGGTAGAGATGATTGTTTTGTGTGACTAGCCATTTAAGCCTAAAAACAGCAGCATCGAGCTGTATACTCCTAAAGAAAGGAAAGTTTGTGGATAATAAGTAGCGCCTTGTGTCCCCTAATAAGTTGGTAAAACAAAAATATAGTCATCGTTCAAACCAGTCCAGAGGCACATGGAAAACAATTCCTTGCTTAAATCATCATTGTGTTGTCCTGAAAATCATTTCAGACTACTAAACATTTTGGGACTGGAACGTTACAGTACTCCCCCCCACCCCCCAAAAAAACCACATGATTTTATTTGTACAGTACTGTCGCACATCTAAACACAATCCCTCCGCGCTAAAATAAACAAAGCAAGGAATATTCACAAGAGTTTAGTGCGCCCTTTTATGAATGTGTTTTCAGGCCTTTTTCATTTTACACAGTAAGGCCATAACTTTATCTGTAGGCCTAACTACTAACCAGACTGAAAATACACTTGTAAAAAAGTGACAAATATCTCATCAACAATGAAAATTGGAAAATGCACAGGAGACTTGCAGTAATAGCAAAGTGATGCTGAGTTTGTTCTTCGAAGTCACACATAATTGACAACTTCTGAGACAATTTTTCACATGCAATCTAGAAAACTGGCAGAGAGAAAGTAAAACAAAATATTACACAAACATAATTAGAGAGACATCCACTGGACCACTAGAGGAATTACATGTACATGACTGTCAAACAAGGAAATAAGAAGTTTGTTAAATCAGGTTATAAATAAGTAGGAATGGCATTTGACATGTCTAAAGTAATGTGCACACACAGAGACTTTTGAGAATCTTGATGGTCTCGCATACCAGGTATAGTTTGTATCATTCTGAGCACGGGTACATTTACCCAGTAGAAAGGACCAGTATGCTTGCCACCAACAAATGTCTCAAAAATCTCCAGTGAAGCACTTCACTGGTGGGACAGTGGCCTCTTTCAAAGGAACCAAATTTCATGGCCCTGCTTACTATAAGCAAACAAGCTTTGTCAACCATAGCAGAATGTTCTGTGTTAGCGGTTAGCGTATTTCACAGGGTAACGAGTAAATTACTGTTACATGCATACACAAATTGTTAAAGCTAAAAGATTCTATGCTTACTCAAGCACAGAATGCTGATTGTAAGAGCAGAACTTTTTGGTTCGGAGTGCCATGACATTGGGTCAAGGGGAGCTGGGTAAAAGGTTAAGGGCCAATCCCATGCAGCTGCTAAGCACAGACTTTGCCAACCCAAATTTCACAGCTAACACAAAAAAGTAAAAAAAAAACCCAAAAATCACAACACATTCTAGCTGTGTTTCTGATCACTAAACTTTTTCCAGGGCTTTTAAACCATTCAGCATATCCCTGTGCTCATCTGCTACAAGTAAACTCCTGCAGCATAGTGCGGAAATGATGCTCTCTTAAGCGGAGACTTTTTCCGAGTCCTCCATGTAGATACGTGTCTGGTGGGTGCTGGCAACGTGCTTGACCAGGCTCCAGCAAGTTGGGCTCTCCTCCTTACAGTATGCACAAGTCCAAGAGGATGGCTCTGTCAATGCAAGAAAAAGTCTTTCATACTTTTGTTTTCTAATGCTACCAATGCCCAGGGAAGACTAAATTGGCCACATTTCCGGTGTAAAATTGGACACTCTTGTACTCCTGTTCATGTTTATTTTGGCCAAAAGAATCAAGCTAAAAACAGAATGATACCAAGCATTAGCTTAAACAAGAAGACACTTGTCAACTTGAGATTTGCATCTTCATAAATTATCCTGTATTTTTGTTAATCATGGGTTGTCTTCTTTGTTTACATGCAGATGCCATGAAACACAAATATCTCAAGATAAAAACACATGCAATAGAGGTGAACACTGCTTAGTCCTTCCCCCCAACAATATCTTCTGTAATACCAATTTTGATATTTCTACAAAGGATCTCTCTCTGAAAAGGGCTACTGGTTGCATATCGTTGCTCCACAGCAATGGAATGTCTTTAATCTTGAAGTTGTATTTCAGTTTAAAGGTGGCATCTGGAAGTAGCCTGGATTGACACGCAGATGTCATATGAAGAAAACTGGACCTGCCATACTCTCCTGTCAACTAAAGCCACCGGTGGCCATCTTTATGTGCCAAATACAAAGATGATCAGTGGCTGGCATCCATTACAACTTTTGTTGCCACAAACAATTTGGTTAACGATACGGAGCCAGTTTTTGTGTTATCTTTTTTGTATTTGGCATGGCAAGATGGCCCCAGTGGCCTCAACAACCTCTGTGTGCTGATTATGGGCACTGTAAGTCCAGACGTATTCATATGACGTGTGGAGTGACGATCCACGAGTTGAAAATTTAGATTCTATCAAATTTCTCTTTATTTGAAGTTACAGTCTCTAATCTTTCTTTCAGAGGCGTTCTTATAATTGTTACACTAGCTTTAAAATATACCCAAATTCTTTTATCAGAAGAAAATTAAAAGGCTATTTCTCCCTGATTCAGAAAAAATGCAATGGTAATTGGTTAAAATCATACCATCTCCTTCAGCATCCATCTGGGTGTGTTCCATGAAGCGTCGTACCTTCTTTGCAGCTGGGGGTCCGGCCTGGCTGGCCGCTGGAATGAGGGGCAGAGTAGCTGGATCGACATACCCACTGCTGGTAAATGTGACAGAGAAATGGTTGCCGTCAAGTTTAAATCCAATTCAAAAAGGTATCAGGCTCTTGCACAATCTTGACTTCAAAATGTGCAGTAAGGTATCCTTTCAACAAACGTGGATCCCTTCCAAGTAGTTTTTCACAGGTTAGTTTGCCATAGGTTTGCGTGTAAGCATGGATGTTCCTAGCTGGCTTCACTTTGTTAAGTTAGTACTCTAGTAATCATATATAGCTCTACGAATACACTGGTGTTCACGGAAGACTACATCAGTGTTATACATGGAAGTCCCAAGACTGGTCAAAGATCAGATTTTGCTGGTCTGGCTCTTGATTGTCTCAGTCTAAACCGTGGACAATTTTGCCAATCTTAACCACTTCCTGCCGGGGATTCCGGATCCGAACGCGTATCCTTTATATGAGTGGCCGGGGTTTCCGAACTTGGACAAAGAGAACAGGACCTTGTAACAAAAGACCGTACTACGAACAAAAGACCACGCTGCTGGGCATAACCGACATTTTTTCACTCTCAAAAATGGAGATAATCCAGCCTTGTTTTGAAACAGTATACCACAGTTTGGGGCATTTAGAGAGAGCGGATTACCACTGGGGACAAAAGCTCTCCACCACCGCAGCAATGAGCCACACAGCACCACTGCATGCTAATCTGCCCCTATTGAAAAGAGGTCAGCAGGGCACTGAGCCAGGTTCATGAACAAAAGAAAGTTATATAACACTGCACAATCTGGGCTCTTTTTTTACAAGGCTGCAGGCCTAGCTGAAATACTCAGGCATCAATAGATTTTGTCTGCCAGGCTAGAGTGGACACCAGACAGTCCTTCACGTGTTTGTAAGTGTCCAGTAAATGAAGATAGGAATTTTTAAAGAATTTTGAAAACAGAAAAAAATGATAATTATCCCGGACCAGCATCATCAACACTAATAAATGCCCCCGAAAACAAGTGGTTAATCTTTGAATCTCGAGACCACCCATGTCAATAACATACATTCCACTACAATTGAAAGTTACATGTTGGTTCATGATTGGGGCCAAAGCAAACCCCCCAAATTTATTTTATCGATGACACAGCAGACATTCGCTCTGTATACTGGACACAGAAATATGTCTTTTTACAATTACTGCAATATGTGGCAATCATGTTTAACAGAATGCTTGTAACTTGACCACAGTCAACAGTCAATTTTGTTTCAAGTATTTCAAATAATGAAATATTCAGATTTAGCCATTCCTATTGGTTGACAGCCTGTCACATGGCCCGTCTTAAACAGTTGATAAAACACAGGCTGGCTGTGTGCACTTCACGCAGTACACGCCACGCCTGTGGTTATCTCCATACAGAGAGATTGTTCATGACTGCTTGCAAGAGGAGTATACCAAAACATTTTAATTACAGGTTTTGCCCTTACACCGATGTATATTCATAACGCTGTATACTCGGTGCTTGTCCAAGAGCTTGTGAACAAATTCACAAGCTTACTTGGGTGGGACAAGAACCTACGACCTCCTGCTTACTAGGGCAGACATCTTAACCACTCAACAACCAAGCTTGCCGGGGTCAGCTGACCAGTCTGAGTCAGATGAAGATATATGTATGTTGCATCAGGGATGTTGGGTATTGCCCTTATATACATTGGCATAGGGGTAAAACCCGTAATTAGAATTAACATCCCCAATACAAAGTACATCTTGAAGACCAAAACATGTCAAGAGAGTTGTTTCAAAAAATGACGTAAAATTACTGGGAATTTGCAATTTTCAAACTTTTTCAACTTTCTGACTGAAAATGGGAGCGAATATGTGCTTGGCCAGTACCAGCTCAGGAGAATGGACGCTGATAATGCCCTCCAGAGTGACTCAGGCCTTAGTCAAGTCCATGCTCCCGAACCAGTTTTAAACAAATTTTAAGATGGGCCAAACACATATTCATTATTAAATAATAAATATAGTATTCCCCCATTCATAAACTGGACCCAACATTCTGCTTGGTAACAAAATAAATAATTTTTGGATGTGACCATACGGCCCATACAAACAATTCCATGTGCTTACTTTGGATGGTTATTCAAGTTCTGCAAATGAAATAATGGTCGACCTTGATCAACAATGGGAAACAAAATGCAACACATTCCATTACAGACAGTTTCCTCTCACCCGTTGTAATAGGCCGGATTCTGCACCCTTTTGAAGCCTTTTCCACGGTTTGGATTTGGATCTGCAACTATGTTTATATCTGCAAAAGAGAAACTAGTTCAATCTCAACATCCCATGACAAAAAACAGAAAGGAAAGCAGGTGGCTTCTCAAGTGGCAGTCAAGAGACCATCATTCTTCTAGTGATGAGAAGTTGATTACAGGTATGTCATCACCTAATTTCCTGAAATAAACGTCACTGCATGGTCCCCTTCATTTTTAGCCCATGTCCTTAATTTGTGTAGCTACGGATGGGGGTGGGGGAGAAGCATGCCCAAGGCCCCTTTCCCAATTTTATCTTAGTGGGAATCCTTTTACTTTTATCCAATTTCTTCTTTCGTTCTCAAAAGATTAATTAGTAACTTAAAAGACCATCATTTTCACAATGAGAAAAAATCTGCCTTGCTCATATTTTTAGGTTTGACCTCCAGTTTGGGCTACTCGTTTTCCCTAGCTGCTGGCATCCCCCATGCTGGAATTGCTCATTCTGCCACTGGTATTTGTGTCATGTCCTGCAGTATGGCATGCACAAAGAATCCTACAGTTTGGTAATGAAGGAAGGGGATAGCATTTCAAATTCTTCCTTGTGAAGTAACAGTGGCTGGGTTGTGCTTTCTACACAACTGAAAAATCCACCCCCTCACCAAAAAAAACCCCCAAAAAACCAAAGAACCAAAAGCCCCTACTGCTGGATTTAATATGGGGTTAAGCTTGACATTAAAATTCAGAGCCCAATTTCACAGATGGGAACCAGTACTAGGCAATATATGCCACATTATAAACCCTGTTATGCAAATGTCCATTAAGAAAAAAAAAGTTGTCCTACAAGTCAAAATTAGTCAAGTGACTGTTGTTAAAGTCCCCTACCTACATGAAGCAGAATCGACTAGCTATGATTGTTTATGTACCTCAGACATGTGCCTTGACTGTTGATGATTGATAAGCCAGCCATTCATCTGCTTTTGTCTCTTAGCTGAATTAAACTGGTCACAGTACCAACTGGAATTATGATCTGGCTGCTAGTGACTAATATGTGTGTGAAGTATAGGCAGAAGAAGTGGCTTGAATTTTTGGCTGTCTGTGACGATTACAGCAAAGGAGGGTTAAAATTCAGCTGGTGAACTGATTTTACTCTGCAATACTTGTAGCACTCGGCATTTATTTGCAATTAGCCTAAGGAAGTCAGGTCTGAATACCAACCCATGGGCTGAAAGTTGATGACCCTCCCTTGCTCCAATCTGCAAGCATTTCGGGCCTCCTCTTTTGTGGCATACTGGATGAAGGCGTAGCCCTTGTGCACCGAGATACCGACGATTTGCCCGTGGCGCCCAAATATCTCCTCCAGCTTGTCCTGTGTCATCCCTTCCGGGTTCAAGTTGCCCACAAAGAGACGGGACTCCCTGGACTTGGGGTCGTTGCTGTTGGTGTTGTTGCTGATGGTGGACATATGCCGTGGGGCGGCAAAGCGGTTGAAGCCCATATGGTTGAAGCCGAGGCCAGGATTTCCACCATAGTAGCGGTTCATGGTTGGATGTCACACAAGCAGAATTGCTGTCACAATAAAATAAAATATTCACATGAAACTGAAGAATCATCCATGCATGCTGAACACAGCAGGGACCCAAAGCAGAGTGGTCCAAACTGGGTATATGTAGTAAATATTTAAAAAGGGGTTGACTGGAATCTTGCTTTTGGCAAAGATAACAATTCAGCCTTGGGTGCAAATGCAGTGTATTTCCCCCATTTTTTTTCAAACTTGTTGTCAACTGAAAGAGTAACTTGACCAAGGTACCCCCTATTCAAAAATTCAACTAGAGGTCCTGAGCCTCTTCAAACATTTTTGTCTATCCACATGTCATTTCCTATCTTTTTCTAGTTTCCACTGGGCCCCCCAGATCACCCTTGTACGGGAGGAAAAATCTCTTTTGCTGAATTTGCATTAGGTATAGATCTCTCTCACAGGACATCACCTTCTCTCACAGGACATCATCTTCATAGGGAAATTGCAACTGCATATTCAACGCCATCAGGTGTGCACATGCAGTGTGCAAATGTTCAATATACCTAGCGTGCTGATCTGAAGGTCTTAAAAAGTAAAGCTAAAGTCTCGGCAATGTCCATTGTGAAAATTTTATGTCCAAAATGCTGATGCACACAGCAGTGTTTTAGAGGCATGTCATGTAAGACAGACCTATAATGGTACTCTTTTTAAAGAAGAGGATATTGACATAAATCAACAGTTAAATGCTCTGTAGCATACTTACCCTCTTTGAAGAAACTGCAAAATGTGTAACTTGGATGCTGAATTGAGGAGCTTTGTGAAATTGCTTAAAAAAATCATTTATCATCAAGAGGTTGTTTTACAGCTCCAAAACCAATTTTACTGCCCTCAAATAGTTATCCCCAGCTCTCTCACAAGCAACTGACATTAAAGTGATTTGGAAGGCCTAATAGGATAGTAGATTAATTCAGAACCAATGCACAAGTCCATTTTTTCCTCACAGTGAAATGATATTGAATTTTTGTCACAGTAATTGAAAGATCACTCTGAAGGATTCTCAATTAGTGTTGCAGCAAGGCAACTTTTCCAATTCCCAGGTTATTTCCGCTGTACTTTTTTGTATGTTATCAACTGGTATTTGACACAAATGAATTCCAGAGCCAAACAAATCGAAACCATCATCATTAAAAAATCCAAGACATCTTCGAAATGTGTGAAATCCAGGTGCAGTTGTACGCCCATTTGTTTTTTTTTGGGGGGGGGGCTAAACCTGTTGCACGTGGTGTCACCTTCTAACTTTCGCTACTGCAAATCCAATATTTTCTAGCCCCTTTTATTTTTGCATTTCAAGGGGGCTAGACAAGTGTGTGGGAGGGGGGCAAAAGTCCCCTCTAGCCCCCCTCCGTCTGTAGAACTGCACCTGGTGAAATCTGAAGAGAAAAACTGACATTTCGTTTTCTCCTACTGCAAAATGAATACTGCCAGGTAATGTCCGCAAATAGATGAGTGCTTTGAGACAAAAGGCCTGTAAAAGAGGAAAATATACTTCCAGGTACTGGTCAACCTAACCAATTTGGGCTTTTCATATTACTTGGTGCATTATTTCGGTAACCACACTCTAGCAAAGTCAGCCTAGTATTAGCAGCATTCTCCACGTGCTGGAAATCAACAAAGGTCACATAGGTTCCGCAGCCATGGCTACACTTTCATGGGATCCCCACTCCGAACACCAATTTTTAAATGCAAAGTTCTCATGAATTATCACTGCTTGTAAGTTTGGCTAATTTTCACAAAAAAGCTCTCAAATTCGGTTCATACTGAAAGTGCTGTTAGCAGCTTCCTGTGGCCAATTCAGTTAACATCAGACTGGTTAGCCAACTGAGCTAATCCAGTTCCTGCATACCCTCTCCCAGATTCCTTCCACCCTCAACACATACGCCAAAAGTCAGTAGCACGATGCATGGACATGGATGTAACTTTGAGATATATAAACACATAAGTTTCTCTTCTGATATTTGACTGCAACAGAACAGTGTTAAGTGTCAACAAGACTGGCATGTGTCTTTAGAAACAATTTTCTTTCATTTAAATTCAATTTTAGCTGAAAATAAAGTTTCAAGTCCTTTGATGTTTAATTCAGCTGCCCGCCACATGTCTGTTTTTGGAGTTACCAGTTACTGTGACTGTGTACGCAATGCAATGCCACAAATACCTTGCTTTTGGAGCAGGCTCTATCCGGTTTGTGACTTTGTCATACACATGCATGCACCATGAATTCTACGCTACAGCTGGATGAATAGACAAGTTGCGCATTAACTTCCAGTTCCACGTGACTCTGATGTGCAGTGGGCGTGGTTTAAACTGAAGTACCATCACACTTACGAACCGGATTGCAGCTGCCATGGGCAAGAATCGGGGCCATCTCAGATCAATGGCAGTTACTCGAACAGATACAATGCTTGAATTCTAATAAAATGACATGAATTCTATTCTGTCTGCCTCTTTTTTGGACATGATGCCACAGACAGTACTCACAATCAACTGTGCACATGGCTACATGTATCAGGAAACTGACACTCAATGCTTCAGTGGTGTGCAAAAAAAAGTCTCATGGACAATCCTGGAGAAACTATTTCAGGCAATACAAGATGAACTATACATAAAAGGGAGTTGATGTTCAGCATGTTTCCTCTCCATTGGCAACTTTGAACAAACACAGTTAAAGCAGTCTAGAGTTTTTTAAAAGGAAGTAAACTTGCTTAAAATCAAATTAAAAACAAAACATGTATACAATATTCATGAAAATATCCGAAAAATTAAGGGGAAAAATAAAAAAGTACTCACCGTCTTCTAAAAAGATGTCAAAAATGTCAGCAAAAAGGTCTTGAAAAATGACTCCAAAAACGTCACCCAAAAATGTCGCAGAAAAATGTCACGACGATATTGAAAAAACAGCAAAACTGCAAGTTCAAAAAATAAAAAACAGAAAAGGAGCTTTAAAAATGGACACAAAAATGAGTTTGAAAAATTGTAAAATACTTAAGGACTTGAAAAAAGCAGCAAGATTTCTTTAAACAAAATTAAAAATAAGTAAAACACTTCAATTATGGTGACTAAAGTGTCAAAGCAATGGTGAATAAACTTTCAAAGCATCTTTTGGAAGTACATGTATAATATTTTAACTTTTGAATAAAACAACACACAACAGAACAAATGCAGTCACAAGATTCCCATAGGTTGGTTCTGATCAATATGTTATTTATTTACAACTTATCCAAAATAAATTACAGATGATGTAAAATGCTCACGTGATTACTCAAAACTTATCAGACTTTGACATACTCATTAAATTGGGTCAGGCATTCATTTGCCAGAATTGCCTATTATAGTACGCCACAGAGATAGACTGAATTTAATACAAGATCAACCACTTTTGCAGAATTATGTAGTTTAAGTCTAATTAGATTCAATATCAATATACCTCTCTTCAGGTTTTCTTGTCACCTGAAAGTGGCATGATGTTTTTTTTCTGGAAATACACTGAAGTTGTTCTCTGATTTTTTTTTGCTGAAATAATGAAAGTGACAACTTACAAGGTGAGCAACACCCTTTTACTCATCATTCAGAAAGATTGCTACTTCAAGTCTACAATTCACTGAATGCTTTATACAGGTAGAGAACCAGACTAATGAGCCAATTTTGCAAGTTCTATTGGCTAGGGGAAGAGTGTTCTCTTGGCACCGTGGCTCATTAGAAATCAAGGTTGAAACTTTGGCTTCATGTACCCATGCCTTTTGTCCTTGATGCCATAGTGTCATATTGTCATACTCTGGCAGAGAATCTCCTAGTGAAACTGAGATCTAATGCAGCAGCAGTTCCACAAGATTCCCTGTAATATCATAACCTCTGAAGTAGCAGCCTGTCTGCTTAATAGGGAAAGGGGCTGTTGAACCTGTCTTCCAATACCCTTCTACATGCATGATGAAACATACATTTTGGGAAGCTAAACCTTTATAGTGGCAAGTTGGATCAACAACAATTTGTTAACCCCTGGTTAATTTTGCCTGGTGCCCAGTCTGTATTTCATCATGTATGTATGGGTAACCATTCAAAATCGACCATTGGTTGAAAATTTGTCATTGATAAAATTTGCCCCTAGTAATATGGACATCAAAGATGTGCGTATCCATAGTTACCATACATTCATACAAAGATAAACAGATCCCATTCCTTCCTGAGCACCAAAGTTCTGTTCCACAAATATGGACCAAAATGTGTATACTTACCCAAATTTTTGGTGGAAATTGAAAATAAACCAATAAATAAAAGCCTTTCCTTGGAAAGAGGCTTAACAATGCTTTCAATCTAGAAACCAGGTCATGCAACATTTTCCTTGATAATGAACATTTTAATATTTTACACCTGGATGTGAGGCTACTGGCTAGTCCAACCTAGTTTGAAATATATGTATATACAGTACATGTAACCAGGACTCTAAAAAACATGTTTAAATTTTGAACATGACGTGGCAATTAATTTCAATGTCATAACCAAATCATGGTAAAAAGGTAGTTTGTAGAGTCCTGGTTAATTGGATGAAGCCCAACCATGGAATTTCTTTACACAATAGGCCAAAATAGTTTAATCCGTCGGTCACTGAGTGAACTACATGTACAATGTGTGGGTAAAAAATGAACTGTACAATAGAGGGATTTCACATTAGCTCCATCTGCGCATATCTGCATCAAAACCGAGGCTCTCTGTGTTGAACTTCGTCACGCACGCCCGCAGAGTCGACACAGTACATGCAGTATCCAGTTCGTAAGTGTTGCGCCACTTCAGTTTAAACCACACCCACCGCACAAGATACACGACCATCGCAGGTACGTTAGTTCGCAGTAAATTGCCGTTATTTTTCTTTTGATTTTACATGCTGAGTCATTCTGAAAGACTCTTCCACAAAAAGTTGAAGCCTGGAAAGTCTTAATGTAACATACCTTTATGTATTTTGTGCCTTGACTCCTTACTTTCCATCATCTGATCGTATTAAGAACACATACTGCCTCATTTTCAAACGCGGAAATGCGCAGATCAACGCTGAATGTAACGTATAAAAATAACCCTTAACAATATATGACTATGCTGTCAAAGCTACAATGAGATTTGAGAAAAATAGCAATGCACGAAAAAGGCGTTTGTCAGGGAACCATTTTCAAATCCAAGCATGTCAGCCTGTTGCTACGCAGAGTTGAAATACATTGAGAATAATGTAAGGCAGGAGTAGGGATTGTAAGACAAACATACAGGAAAACAAAGTGATGACTGAACAACCCACTGCCTGCTAATGCTATGCAGATACTCCTTCTGGGCATGCTGCCAACAAAGTATTTGCAAGTAAGGAGTGGACAGTCAACTATGACTGTAGCCAGTTACAATATGGGATACAAGTTCTGGGTTACTCTACAATTGTTCCAAGTAAATAACCATGCTAATTTCTTGTCACAGCCTCCATTTTTATTTAAAGCCATTTTTCTTTTTATTCCAGGGACATAATCATGGAAAGAAAGCAAAAATTCCTGCAATTCAACGCAGGATTGTATTTTGAACAGCATGGGAAAGGTATTTGACCACCAAGTTTCAAAGTCAAGTTTGACTAAAACTTGTAAACACCAACATTAAAAAAAACTGAAACAATTATTCTTATGGTCGGGATGACATCACCGAGTCTGGCTCTTCTTTGTGATTGGTCAGTTGGTTGGTAGCTGTTCCATATTTCACACTTGGGTCACGTCCAATTAAGCTGTTTAAATTCTATAACTTTTCACCATCCTGCATAAGCAATGGATGCGTTTGCATGGGTTACTCGTGTTGACTCCCAAGTGCAGGAAAATGTTGCATGTGCATTACTCTCAGACACATCAGATCGAGAGTATACTCCTTCTATGACTGAAGACCTGTTCGTTTTAAACACGGATGCGGATCGCAATCAGTAATCCCAAAGCTGGTTTGCACCATCGATTACCCGGGATCTGGTGTTAGTGCACCAACTTTGGATCACTGATCGCGATCAGGATCCGCTCTGCACAAAACAAAACAGGTGCAAGTTTTGAGTATACTCTCTCACTGACCTGTGGGTTGTTCTCCCGCCATCTGTGCACTCAGGAGTATCCTACTCGTGTTAACATGAGTAGCACGCTCGAACGCAGGGGACTGTATACTTGGGGACCCCAAGTTTTTTGTGATTTTAATCTTGCAGAACAGGTTAAGTCCACCCCAAAAACAACACTCTCTCTATTGCACTGGAACTATTTTCTTTGAAATTTCAAATTGTAAATTGTGAGAAAATGTGACTTTGTTACTGATAAACCAGCCAAGCTAATTCGAATTCGTCATGTGTCATGTTAAAAACACTCAGTCACAGACTTCATTGTAATTTCCCTCAAAACCCTGCAGCGCCTGCCCTTTTTTGACATCAACCCTAGAGTTTTTGAGCATGATGTCACAGTCATCTTCCAAGGTGAATTCAAAAGATAAAATGCAGCTCTCCCTTACTGGGTCCCCAAATTTACAATCACCCAGACGCACCCGAACTAGCAGGAGGGTTGAACATCGTGGTGAAGCACGAGGGCGCCTTCTCAACCATGATTATTCATCACTTGTTTTTGTTCATTTTTCATCAAACGCCACCATCATGACCATTCCCGTTGACGCCATCATCCTGATACATGGCAGACTTCCTGCTGTATTTTCGGCTACAACAATACCACCTACGAATCTAAAAATGATTAAAAAGTGCCCTGTTTCATGATAATGCTGCTGGTGCATAAAAAAACTCACCGGCTCCAAATATCAACGCCTTTTAACTAAATTTCTTTATCGATGAAAGCCCTGATTACTCTCGCGATCTGAAAGCACACAGAGACACACGAAAATTGTCACTAGCGCATGCTCGCCGAACTAGAAAGAGCTAGTCCAATACGGGGGAGCACCGCACAATGTAAACTGGGACAATCGTCCCAAAGCTGTACACTGTACGTTCATGTAAACTATACATGTACAGTACAGTACTAGTACGGGTGCATTGAACTAATTCAAGCTCCATTGAAAACAGTGTAAAACAAACTGTGGAGCCTATGGCAGGCAACTGAAGTCCCTGAGGCCTCTCGAACAATGTGTTGTTTGGTCCTTCAGATTTCATTTGATTTTTAAATTTTAGTAGGTTAAGCAATGAATTTTTTAATTACCTCCCCAAAACAAAGTCATCCCCCAAAAGTGAATGTTCCCCAGTCTTTTCAGCAGCCCTTATTGAAATGACATCCCTCACTTTTGTTGGGCTCTTCTGACAAATTTTCAATCACATTTTTGTCTGCTTTGCCCCCAGATGGGTGCCCCTGAATCTACAGAGATGATCCTAAGCCACACTTACACAATACCACAATTTCTTGGCCCACGCAGACCCCTCTTTTCGAAACAATTTGTCCTTAGGCTGGTGGAGAATTTTCCTTGAATTGGGATGGGACACTGCACATGTACATAAAAACGTGCACCATGCACATTGTACAAGTACATCAGTGTACATGTACAAGTATGTACGCGAAAGCCGGCCCACTGCGGACCAACCTTTGCACTCATATCTCCACCAACATGAATGTATTCTAGACTGGAAAATAGTCCCTTTTTACCACAACCTACATTTATTTGATTTCAATGTTTATCATGATATCGTGCTTTTGACATAATGTATTGGTACTTGACGGAAGCACCTTCTTCTTTGCTGAGGTATGCATATTCACAAATGGAAGTTTTACATTGCAATTTATAAAAAAACATTAACATGAGCCCTTACTATCTAAAGGATGTGCATAACCATTCAAAAAGAAAAAGTTCCAGCAAATCTATAATCTCATGACTATGAAAAAACAAGAATAATACCCCTTCCCCCCAAACAACACAGAAACTCCAAACACAAGTATCACACAAAACAATTTTAAAGAGGTCAATGTCAAGAACCTTTTAATTGTGACTTATGAATTCAGTAGGTCACTGAGTAACTGATCTGTTTCAGAAAACAAATCAGTGAAATGAAACAACAATAATGATAATTGGGAAAAGCAATTCACGCTAATTTCTAGTACTTAAAAAGCTACAGCTGCTAGAAAGGGGATGGCTGTTGCAAGTGCACAAAGTTTATTGGCCGAGGTAAATAAACATTCTTTCTTCTCGACATATTGGCAGAAAGTAAACAAAACATCATTCCACATGAGACTGAAAATGCATGCTCATGCTTACATATGTACCAGTATACATGTATATACTAATCCCTTTTCTTAAAGACAGAAAAAGCAAAACACTTTACATAAAACAAGTTTATAAATAAACCAAGCTGGCTGCATCTATTTTCAATAATGAAGCAATTCCTTTTATCAGATTCATGCCATTTTAAGACTGCACTAGTTAGTTCCTGAAACATAATCAATAGGGTATGATGACACATAAGAAACAACTGGGTATGTTCCAAAATTGCTCAGTAAAGACAGTTTTTTATGTAGGAATTCATCTTTGCGTCGAATTTAACACAAGACAGATTTTATGGCATGTAGAGGGTGCATGTAATAGATATCCCCTAACCCCACTGGCACCCCAAAACCAAGTGGCAATGTGAAAAGATTCTCCAAGAGTCACTTGCCCCACTGGCATTAATCATTTTACTTAAGTTTTTCCTTTAATGATGACTGGCTAGTAAATTCACCTTGTCTTCATATTAAAATAAATTAAAAGTCATCACATATCAATTGTTAATTTTTTTTTTACTTCCCTAAATCTGTGGCTTATTTTATACCAAAGACAGGCATACCTGTGTAACTACACGTATTTCGGTGCAATAAGTCAGCACATTATCTACATAAGCTTCCCTGTGTTTCGTCTCTTTTCCAAAACTTATTTATCGGACATCCTTTTCCTCACCATGTATAATATTTAGGTGAAAAGAGCACGGGTTTAAAAAAAAAACAACACAAGCTTCATGCAGCATTACTGACAATGATCCCTTTCACGGGATAAAAACAAAGAACAGAATCTGACCAATAACAATAGTATAACAAGGAAAGTTAGCTCTCTGACAAGCCACTGATCTGAAATGGACAGCATCACAAAAGAAAATAAATAACTCACTTCCATGGGTGCTAACATGGCTGTACATGTCTTATTTCTATGTGGAATATGAACAAGATAGTGGAACTCCAAGGAAAAATTCTGTTCTCATGAGAGTACACACCATGAAAGTGAGAACTCTGCATGACAAAACACATCCAGCATATCGCCAGGTGCCAGTGACTTGTGCTGAAACGTTCTGATGGCTCTTTAGTACAATGGGCAAAAGCATGTTTAAAAAACACATTTCCATTGACAATGTTCCATCCACTCAATGCCAATTCCTGAGAACTACACGGTGGTTGAAAAATGTCTTTTACATGAGGCCACACATCTCAAATTCAATCCCGTCTTTTCTTCAACAATCTCCACTTCTTATTTTCGAAGAAAATGCCTCACAATCACTGAGCAATTTACTAACACCAGGATCCAGGGGAAAAACCCGAAGACTCTTCCATATGTTCAACATCTCAATGCTTAACACATGTACATCACTTCAGCAGTCACTGTTCAAAATCAAACAGTTTAAACTCTAATATAGATGACATGATCTCCATGTATGTATATACAATCTTTTCCAGGTAACGTTGGTAGTAGCATGTACATGTATATAAACTCTATAGCAGTTTTTCTCTATCCAAGTTATCTACAAATAAAATACATTTACAGTACATATCAATATAAGCGTTTACAGCTATACTGCGAATGATTTTCAAAGTTGACATTTTATTAAAAGTTCTTAGAGTCTGTACAATTGTTTACACTTTTTTTACAGTACATGTAAATATAGATAAAATACTGATGAGGTCTATAAACAGACGATTAAAAACATCTTTATATTTTATATCTTAAAGTTCTTTCATAATCACACACTTTTATTGCTCTCTCACATGCCAGTCAAAATCCATGTAGTGAAGACAAACACATACAACTACAAAACAAATACAGAACTAAAATTTTAATAAGTTTAAAAACTCAGCTCTGCCAACATTAAAGAGAAAAGAGACGCATCTTGTAAATGCATTTGTCAATCAACACATCCAAATATTTTTTAACATGCAACGGGGTGTTCTCTGCTGACAGTTTTCACAAATTTTGGCTGGCACTTTTTTTTCTCACCAATCAAACAGTTCTCACCTTACACCAAACACAAGAAAAACTAAGTGTTTCCTGTGGACAGCTTCATTCGGCTGTCACTAGAACGATGCTACTAGCCTGCTTTACCCGTTTTCCTGTTGAAGTTTTTTCCCTACTTTTTTCTCACGGAAAGAAAAATTGAACCAAATTCTGCACATGTACATACCATGTATACATCAAACATTTCTGGCATCTCCACTTGAAAATCAGACAAGCTTTAAGATCTCTGCAAAGGAAAATCACTTAAAAATAAAACATTCAGACAGTGCATTTATACAAATCTCTCTCAGTGACTGACAGCAGTCTGGCCAGACCTTGCCAGAAATGAGAACAACCCCCCCCAAAAAAAAGAGCAGGAATATCAGTAGCAGCATATCAGATAACCACAAAAGGAACACTTGTACCCATGAAAAATTCACATTGTGAATAGTTGTACTACTACATGTACTATTTAGGGTTTCCTAAACTATTTTCAAACAGCCATTTCTCAGTATCCAAGAATTACTCATATTTTGAGCTTGACACTGTATACATGTGTGACCTAGGGGGTGCAAAGGTGCATAAAAACATTTATATTAAACTGCTTACTGAAAGCAGCAAAAGGTTGTCCTGTCCGTAGGATGTTTCAAGCTTTTATTTTAAAGAACACAACTTGCCCCATGCTTTGTTGTAAATCATCAGTTATTAATGTCAGGTTCAACGACAGGTTAATGTCATGTCTAAAAGCAGGCAAACATGTATGTATGTGACTACAGTACATGCTCATGCAAAATGCATCTAAAGCAAAGTAGACCTAGACATGTGTTTAGTTGGATGTGCAAGTATGATACATTATGCTAAACCTTATGCCTTAGAGTCTTCTTTGGACTAAGGACAACTGACAAGATATGAAATGACTCAGCATAAATGAATCAAATTTACAGGTGTGTTTCCAAACCATATTTGCTGAATGTCAGCTCATGTGCTTACCTACTTAAAACACTGCAGCGACCTTTGACATTTTCAGAGTGAGCAGGGAACTAAAGCCAGTTAGGATGTTAAATAACCACAGTTTAAAAATAAAACATGAACACCGGATGTCCCACTCTCCCTTGCATGTGCATGTGTAATCTGAAAGACGGCTGATGTCGAAGGGGATGCAGAATGCGAAATGCATGAAGGAAAGAATTTTTTTTCACTCTGTTGAGAGAGTAAATACATGTATACATTTGCAAGCAATGCATAAAGAATTAACATGTGCGGGGAAAAATTTGAAGCCAACACCACGTTGATGACTGGTTAAATTAAATATTTGCATACTAAACACAACACATTTGTCTTCGGCAACTATCCTTTGATTAAGGACTTCTCAGAAATGGCCACAGGCGCACTTGACGCGTTTCACGGAAGAAAAAAAAAGGTACCTTAGGCTATTAAGACGTGACTTGTTTTTTCCACACGTACTGGTACATTCCTACAATTTGCAGTGACACCATTTTGGTTGCCATGGTATCAACTATCTCTCTATTTGTCTCAAGTTTTGTAATTATTTTTCACTGAAGTCAGGAAATGCATCTGACAGTTGCCACAGGGAATGAGAATGCTTAGAATGAACATCTACCATGAGTATTCAATGGCCTTGTTTTCAAGATGGCCATTTTAGATCATGCTCTCCAAATGCCCATTTATTGAACACTCTTATGGAAAGGTGCCAGACCATTTTGCAACAATTACAGGTATGGCCGCCCTTAAAAAATTGTTTTTCATTTGGGAAAATTTGGTTGACTTGATTTTTTTTCCATTTGGAACTCCCCATCGGAGCACAAGGATGGTAATTTATAATGTGCCCCTATTGAATCATCTTCCTTCCCACACATATTAGTTTTTAAAAAAATTTACCCGGATCACTTCACTGTTGATTCAATATGGCTGACTGTGGATAAGGTCAATTGGGGTCCATGCACTGTGCCCAAGACATGGGATTGCCAAGTGTTTCCTATTAGGAATATTGGCCTGTTTTGAATTAGAAACCCGAAGAGAACACATTGAAAAACATGGTACGTGTATTCCCATAAATGGAGCAATGTTATAAAACAACTGGAACATTTAAAGTAAAACAAAATGTTCTGAGATTTGGGTACTGGACTTGATCGAAGTAATAACAAATTACCATGTACATGTAACTAAATGAAAGAACCCATAAACTGAGCTTCTGAATTGGAACATACAACTGTGTCTGTTACATGTGCCGGTGCATGTACCTATGGACTTCAATATACCAAACGTTAAAATTTTAAAGTAACACAGATCTTGAGTAAATGAGATCCCATCAATTGTCATTACTGCCAGTTAAAACTGTTCACTGTGACTCGGTTGGTTTTGTTGATAGTGTATACTTCTCTTGCTCTGCAGCTAATTGTGCCCGGTGCATTGGATCTGACCATCGACGTTTCAGTGGCTGTAAAGGTTTGCTGTCAGTCCGTGGAGAAGATTTCTGACTCTTTTCTTCGGCCACGGCATTGGTAGTCCGTACAAGTACCATATTTGCATTGCTGTCTGTCTGCTCTGTGAGCTTTCCTTCACTCACTGGCTGTTCTGACGACACTGTGGCACTAACCGGGGGTGGAACGGCAAATGTATACCGCAGTGGGGCTTCAAGGTGGCTGCTGCTATGCTGCTGAGAGTTCCGTTGCCAGGAGGTAGCAGGTCGAAGGTGGGCCTTGTCTTCCCAGTTAGCGTCCTCTTGGACGGGTTCCAGAAGTCGTCTCTTGGGTTCTGGGGACCAAGATGGCAACTCTTTGGGGGTTGCTGAAAATGAACTTTGCATGGGAATTTCCTGTTGCTGGCGCTGCTGTTGTGGTGGCAGCTGTTGATACACCTGGACTTGATGTGGCTGCAGCTGGTGCTGTTGTGACAATGGTTGCTCAGACTGCTGTGGCCGGTGCAGCCACCGTCCGTTTTTGTCCTTCACCGTCAGTGACACGCACACATCGCCGACAGCCAGCTTGTGGCAGCTGAGGTTGTAGCTTTTGAGGGAACGCTCTGGTCTGACTGCTGACCAACCTTGTCCAAAGACAAAGAAGGGGTGCTCCATGGGCGCTTCTAATGACACCTATGAAACAAGAGAGGCCAATGTAATGGCAACTTTAGGAAGGCTTCTATGATGAAAATTCTTAAGTTTGACACCCTCTTTGACTCATTTATTGCCAGTGATGGATTGGGCACCAATTTGGTGTCCCACCATAATAGTTAGGTGTTACTTTTGATTGGTTTTGTGTCATCAGAGTCCTACTGATGCAAACATTATCCGTGATATCACTAAGTACGCTCTTGAGAATTTTGAATTTAACTTAATAAGAAAACAAGCAGGACCTCTAGATTAAGACAGAATCAAAACTCTGAGAGGAAAACTCCAACAGTACTTCCCTATTGTTGAATTTCATTCAACTTCAATGTAATCAGATGGTGGCTACAAAAAAGGATGCTATGCTAACAAAGCAAGCAATAATTCAGACTTGAAGACTTGTAGAGGATGATTTGTTATCATAGCACTAGGATGACAGCATGGCTGAACTGACACAGCTACATGTACATTACGTACATGCTCCGCAGCATACTGTAGCATGATCAAAATGACGTTTAACCAGATGCTGCCGGGTGCTTCTAAAAATGCAATGCATACATACGGGCCATTTTTAAGATTTTCAGTTTTCAAAATTCTTCAGAAATTCCTCATTTCATAATGGACATTTACACCCACACAAATGACTGTTTGGTGTCTACTCTAAGCTGACAGGCAACCTTCATTGACTTTTGAGTATTTCAGCCAGGCCTGCCGCCCTGTAAAGAGAGCCCAGAATTGTGAGGTGTTGCATAATTTCCTCTGTTCCCAGTGAATGCGAGTGGCGTCTTTTCAAACATGGCTGGAGTGGCGTGCAGTGGTGCTGTGTCACTCATCAATGGGGCCATGGAGCACTTTTGTCCGTGGTGCTAATCCACGAGTGCGCTATGCCCAAAACAGTGGTATACTGTTTAAAAACAGTGACGGAATACCTTTGAAAAATGCAAGCCGAAAAATGACGGCAATTCCCAGCAGCAGGTCTTTTGTTCCGAGTAGAGTCTTTTGTTACAGGGACCACCTCTTTTGTCCGATTTCAGGCAGCCCGGCTCTGTGTATAAACCCATGGTGCTCGAAACGGGGTTCCCCGGCAACAAGTGGTTAAGTGGATTGTAAAGAGTTCAGTTTCCAATTGATATTAACCGTCCTTTGGTTTTACAGCACAAATATGAATGTACACAGTTGGTTGTCAGCACAAAATGACACAGGGTCTTTTGTGCAGTCCTCTTCAC